CAACATAATAAAATAGTAAATAAACTTCATAAAAACTACTTTCTTTTTTTTTTTTTCTTCCTTTAGATGCTCTGCTTTCATAAAATACATACAGTAGTTTGGGGGTCAAAAAAAATGGGCATTTTGGCATATGTATGGGAGAAAAAAATAGTGGATAAACTGGTCTGCCAGTGAAAGGGTCATAGTATATTCAAAAGCTGTGATTGAGTTGTTTTTGGCTCTTACCATTTTTGCTACACAACATATTTTAACATGCAGTGAAATGTATATGTAAAGAATCTTATATAATATACAGTATGTGAAGGTGAATTAGAGCAGTAAGGTGAGTTAGAGCAAAAGTACATTCCTTTAGAATAAAGACATTGGAGTGGGATACCTGTTTTTATGTGGCTGTATGTCATTAGGATGATAATGACACAATAAAATTGTGACTTCTATTAATCAAGATTTGTTTTTCCTCCCTTTCACATTAGCAGTCACTTGGAGAAATGCAACATCTACAGGAGAAAACACTGGTTTCCCCTATACCTGACTCTCCAGGCTTTCTTCAGGGCTCAAAGGAGTCTGGTGGAAGCAGCAGCAAAAACTCATCTTGTGACACAGATGATTTTGTTATGGTGCCTGCACAGTTTCCTGGTTCTCAAGGTTTGTTTGATACATTTAGATAAAAATAGACAAAATAGTATTATGTTACATATATACCTATCAATCCAGTGAAAGAGGTCTACAGTTAGGTCTGTCTTTGATTTGCAGAAATGTTTTGTTGAACATCCTTGTGTTTTGCCTTGATCATAATAAGGCTGAGGCTCTGCTGCGGACTATTTTGTGCATTTGGGAGTTGTAGTTCAGCACAGATAAAAGCAGACCACAAACTATAGCTGAAATGCCTTGTAAATAAGGACATGATAGGACATTTGTACAATTTTACTGATGAAAAAACTCTCACTACAGAAATACACAAAACATTGCATGCTTTTTTTAAGACTACTGTATGTGCACTGCAAACAGCTGAATTATGACCTAGTTGAAAGACTTTTCACCTTTCCTTCACCTAAAGAGGCTACCTACTGTGGTTTAGGGTTACTTAGGGATCACCGATAAATTCTGTTGACATTAGCAGAATACGTCGGTGACAATTTGGTGTTTGCTCATTCTCTGAAGCGGTATCCCACAGTTCCATGCTTTGAAAAATGAAAGTGTATGCTGAATAAAGCCAACACTGTTTTGAAACTCATGTCAAGTTTTATTGCTGTCTTTGTTCCTGCTAGGGAGATATCCCCTCACTATTTGTCCTGGCAGCAGCTGCTTCCAAGATAGTAAATTTGAAAATTTTGCGTTGACATCAGAACATAAGTAGAATGGAAGTCTTCTAATGGGGATACTTGTTCTGGTGCCAGCTGTTTAAAAAAAGAAGTTCACGTTTCAGTAAAAAAGAAACAAATTGTCTCCAGTTGGCTTTAAGACCAAGAACCAAGTGATCAACAACTGGAGTGCTGGGCTGTGGAGGGGGCGGGAGTAGCTGGCTCAGGTTCTCAGTGGCTCGCTGAGAGGCTGAGCCAGCTGCAGGCCAAGGCATCTGGGTGTATCCCGACCATATGGTCGGGATCTTTTCAGAGCCTGGAGCACCTCTGTGATGTCAGCAGACAGTGGGCTTAAGCCTGCTGTCAACTGAAAATGGGTGACAGGAGTGCAGAATGAACTGCACTCCTGTGATTCATTAAAGAAATATAACCAAAAAAAGCTTTGGCTATATTTCTCCCTTTTAAGAGGGGATTTCCTTCACAGGTAGGTTTTCTTTCACTTCCTGTTTTGTGAAGTGGACATAAAGTCAAAGGAAATCTCCCCAATGGGAAAAAGAAAAATCTGTGGGCAATTTTAACCATTTGCTACTTTATCCAATACGGGAAAAAAAGTTTGGGCATAAGATATATATTGGGTAAGGGTTTGATTTACTAAGCTAAATGATGCTGTTTTCTATCAAATCCTGACCCATTCCCAACATGGGAAACTAGTTGTAAGCCATTAGCCTCTTTTACCAACAGATCAACTGTTATATAAATGCAATGGCAGAAGTCCTGCACATTCTTTCTGTAGGTTTTATTTTTCAGTTTAGTTGAATAATTTAATGTTCTTGGTGATTTCTTTCTGCCTAACAAGATGTGCCTAGGGCAGAAAAATGGAGTGTAGCACATATTTCCAAGAAATTGATAGGCATTTTGTGAAAAGCTTTGTTTAACTGCTGTTTTTAAGAGCCAGCTGTCTTCGCTATGAATTACCTTTCAATAGCTGGAAAGGGGTTAAAAAGAAAATGTATTGTGAGAGGCAGCATGAAGCATGCAGGCTAATAGGACAATTGTAATGCTTTTGTTATTCTGCTTGTGCCCCAATGATCTGCGTTGTTATGTGGTACTAGCTAATTATTGCAGCTCAGACCAACCGTAATAATTAAAGTCTGGTTTGTTTCCCAGGCAATTAAAACAAAGAACTTGATTTTTTTTTTTCTTCCCTTCCCAAACCTCCTGAGATTAGTTGGCAGGTGTGATTTTCTAGGAATTAAGTCTGTCCAGGGGCTAGTTGAATGTCTTGGAAAGATTTCAAATGTTTCTAAGGATATTATTCTGATAAAAGTTGGTGTAATATATAACTTGGAGCAGCAGGTATAACTGAGGTTAATAAGATTTCTTACAGAGACCCTGTGGAGACACTTTGAGGGTAGAACAAGTTAAAGAACATTAGCCATTCTATGCTGTTACTTAGGTCTTTGAGCTGGCCAGCTGCCACATTTGGAATGCTAAGATTAGCTACCAGTTTATGACCTTCAGTTTTAGGTCACTGTTGTTTGGACTCCATGTTCTAATTTTATAGCTATTGTCATACCCAAAACCATCAACTCGCTTTTAACCATATGCAAGGATCTTCCCAAAAACATTCAACTAGCACTGAGGCATGATGTTTAAAACCCAATATGGAGAGAGTAGGCATTGGTGATTTAGAGAAAATTCTACCGATTAACATGAAACTTATATCATGTTATATAATGGGTTTTGTGGAAGGACAAATAGAGCTGCAATATTTTAACTCGCCTTTGATTCAGTTTTGTTATAGCTTTAACTAACATAATTCTGTATACTGAAGGTGATATTGCTGAAGCTACTACAAGCAAGCCCATCCAGGATACTTTAATGTGTAGTGGGTAAGTCTAATCTCCATTGATTTAGTGCTATGTCCTTTTATAGAGTAAATTAATAAATAAAAATGATTGGATAAATAAGAGAAATAATTGCACATCATTCTTATTATGTTATACTGACATTTGTGGTGTAACACTGTCTTCACTTCTTATTAGTTCTTTGCTGACATCAACTGGCCAGGAGAGCCGAGCTCGAACTCCTTCCCCTACACCTCTCTATAGCTGCTCTCCCAGCCCATCCAGGTAGGAATGATCACCCTGCTGTTTTGGCAGAGAAGAAATAGACTTTTTGTAGCATTAACTTGAGCAAGTAACTTCTTTGTATTATTTAGGAACTTTGTTTCACTTGTATTGCAGCCTTAAGGAAGTTATAATATAATGACTTTGTTGCTCTATTCTAGACTGTCTCAGACATCAGGAAGTAGGTATGGCCAGTCAGTGCCCATTCCAGTCCCAACTCAAATTGACAATTATCGGAGGATAGAGCAGAATTTGCAGTCGCCCAACCAGTACACCCCTCAGAAGTAAGTCTATATATTGACTATGTATGTTGACAGCTAGCACACATTGTCTGTCTGTTTTGCCTGCTATACACAATTGCACAGTTTACTTTATTTACGATTTAGTGCATATACTTTCTTTCATATGTTTTAGTGCATACGTATATGCTAAATATATTTAAGTAATTCATTTTAGATTGGTTCCTTTCAGATCTGGCATGGTGAGAAAGTCCAGCAGTGCCAGCCCAATCAATTTCATGAGGCCTGGGAATTCTCCTCCATTTGCTGTAGAATACACCACTGCACCAGCTAGGAGACTTTCGTTTGGAGGGGCAAAACCATACATTCCCTCTCCACAGGGTAAGCTAGCACTGTCACATTCAGTATTTTCTTTCTGCTAACTGTTCCCACATATTTTTTAATGCTCTGGCTGTGTTTTGCTGGCCTTCTTACATGGACTGTAGTTTTATCCTACAACCCATAAAACCTTCTGGAAGGTTACTTGGCTTCAGCAAAGATCTGTACATTGTAATGGCTATGCCTGATATATTTCAGATTGATTAAAGGTAAAGAATAAAGTAAATGTTTAATATGCTACCCAGTTTAACTTGGTGAATGCCATCTTTTACCTAATGGTATATTAAGGGCTCGTTCACACTTGACTAATTTCTAACTCTTGCCAAATGCCCCTGTATCGTTTGACAGGCATTTGGGAAGCATTTTTAATGCTCCCCAAACGCCCTATGCATGTTTTTGAGGCGTTTGATAGGTGTTTGCCAAGCATTGAAACCGCACCACAAACGTCTGTAATGAAGTTTAATGGTATTAACGCTCCGCAGCCGCCTCGCAAACTCCTGACAGGCGTTTGAGGAGCATCACCATAGACTTGAATGGGAGGCTTCAACTCCTGACTGGACATGAGGCGTCAATTTTGCCACGATGCTGAAGTTTCAGTGTGTACTGCACTGTGTGCTGCCATGTGTAGAAATTTCATAGGCGTTTGAGGAGCATTAAAAACGCTTCCCAAACGCCTGCTAACAAAGCTAGTGTGAACTTAGCCTTAGACTCCACATGTCTCATTACAAAATGCTTCCATGGGATGGCTTAATTAGGTAAAATATGTACACGCTTTAATGTTGCTATTGGTGTTACTACACAATGTACGTATATTCTATGTAGATTATGTATTAATACTACAGCATGAATAAATATATTTTTTTTCAGTGGGGACTATACCTGAGCAACCTGTGCAAGACTTTAGCAGCAGTCCTGGAGGAGCAGAACACAGAAACAGGAGCCCTGTTTATGGTATGCTTGGCAAACCTTTCAGTACATTTAACAATTCTCTTGAGTTTTTCGTGAATACAAACATTGAAAACTGAAGTTTGAAGTTTAATTCTGAACTCCAAGAACATGTTAAAGACACAAATTAACTCCGCTCTGTATTCATGAATTTATCATTCTGAGTTAAATATTACAACACTATAGTGATACAGTGGAAAAAATACCTACTGGTAAAGCAGCTTTTTTCTGAAGAAAAAAAATTTAAATAATAAAACATAGTGCCATAATAACATATATCTCTGTAAAACAACAAAGCAACAATCAAGTCTAATAAAGTGCTTTATGCAAAGTAACAAAATTATTTGTTTCCACAATTCATATAAAAATAATTGGCCCATATCAATCTACACACAGGAAACAAATCTGTGAAAGACTAATCCACTTGTACACCAGTATAAATATCTTATCACAAAGGGTGCTATTAAACTGTCCTCTGTTTCACCATTATTTAGAAACAGACTCGCCAAATATAATAGACCCCTTTTACTATACACAGGTCAAATAGATATTTTACATGAATGTCCAGAATTCCCTCCTCCTCACTCCAAGCAGATGCTCTCCATCAGATGCGTATTAAGCCAAGAAATAAAACATAACTAGGGGTACGCACAGTAATCCTAGGTTCACACCTCAGCATTTTCTGCAGCGTTTTGCAAAAACGCACTACAGTCCATTTAACATAATTTCCTATGGGACACGTTCACATCTCCGAATTTTCACCCGGTGAGTTTTTTGGAAAGGGTCAGGGACTTTTTTTGTACTGCAAAAAGTTGCGTTTTTGGTTCTGTAGACTTCAATGGAAATGCTGCGTTTTTGCCGCATTTTGTGTTTTAAATTTGCCTAGCAACAAGAAAAAAATTTTAAACCGCAAAGTGCATCAAGAACGTATGTGCAAAAATGCACCGCAAAACACAATGCAGAAACGGATCAAACGCAAACTTCATAGGTGTAAACCTAGCGTAAGTGACATTAGCAGAATACAGCTAATTAGCCTCTCTATCCCAGAATATATTCACTGAGATGCCCATAAATGTAAACCCATTCTTATCAATCAGTTAATATCTTTATCCCAGAGAGGGGATTTAAGCCAGACTTATACAATAATAAGCATGTAAATCTCAGGGCAGGACAGAAATAAAAATCAGCCAGGTAAAACATTTCCCTTATATGTATTTATTCTTGTGTATTTAGCATTTGCCTGCAGTCCAGCTTTAAAGAAGAAGCAAAGCAAAAGTGAAGGTATTGCCTACTACAGCAATGTATGATGTTTTTGCTGTTAAAGAAACAACAGATCTGCCCACATTATACTTTGCTTTAAACAAGCCATAGATTATACAATGGGTGGAAGGAAACAAAATTGTTTGATTCCCCCTTAATTACAGTTAGTGTTGATGTGGGAACCTCTCCCGCTGCACTATTGTATTCTGTCAGTGGGGAGCCTTTGCTGTTAGCAGAACACAATGATCACTGCTAGTGGCTATAGCTGTCAGCAGTGATCACATGCAAAAACTCTGACAGCCTGGTTGTACTGAAGTTGATTGATGGATCGACTTCAGTATGACCACCCTGCCCATAGATAGATCGAATTTCAACTGTTTCCTGCTGAACCAGCTGAGATTCAATCCATCTATGGCCAGCTTTACTTGAACTTTATGACTTCTTTTAAAGCGGTAGTAAGCCATAGCCTTTTTTTTTTTTTTTTTTTTTTAATAAACCTTCAAAACAATGGCATAATGTGCTAGTATGCATCACATACTAGCACATTAGGAAGTACTTACCTTAGAAAGAAGCCCTCCAGCGGCACATTGTCACCGCTGACAAGGCTTCCATCTTCACCTGGTCTTTCTTCCAGGTTCGCATGCTCCAACCTTCTGACTGGCCGGGCAGCGATGATGTCACTCCCACGCACCACGGAACTCTGAAGGGACGGCACAGGTTTGCTGTCCCTTCAAAGTGCATGCCACGGATCACTAGCTGCATGCAGTGTGAAATATCTCCTATAAACAGTGCAAGTTTAGGAGATATTCACTGTGCCTACAGGTAAGCCTTATTATAGGCTTACTTGTAGGTACAAGTTAAAAAAAAAAAAAAATTTACTTGCACTTTAAAGCTCAGTGAAAATTACAGTTTTATTTATTACTTAAAAGTACTTGTATAGCGTTGTCAATTTATGCAGTGCGATATATATTGTACATTCACATCTGTTTTACTTCATTTAGAGTCTTATTTATGTTCAGATAACCCGGTTTTAAAATAAACACAGACAAGTCTTGTTTAGCATTTGACCAAGTTTTAACATTTTATTTTTAAAGGCTTCGATAGAGACTATAATTCAAAACTGCATAAGGTATTGTTTGCTAAACTGTAGTTAATGCTGTGTCACTGGCATTCTGAGTCATCCAGTGAGTCAGCCCTGAGTCAGCCCTGTCCAGAATTCCCTCCTCCTCACTCCAAGCAGATGCTCTCCATCAGATGCGTACTAAGCCAAGAAATAAAACATAACTAGGGGTACGCACAGTAATTCTAGGTTCACACCTCAGCATTTTCTGCAGCGTTTTGCAAAAACGCACTACAGTCCATTTAACATAATTTCCTATGGGACACGTTCACATCTCCGAATTTTCACCCGGTGAGTTTTTTGGAAAGGGTCAGGGACTTTTTTTTGTACTGCAAAAAGTTGCGTTTTTGGTTCTGTAGACTTCAATGGAAATGCTGCGTTTTTGCCGCATTTTGTGTTTTAAATTTGCCTAGCAACAAGAAAAAAATTTTAAACCGCAAAGTGCATCAAAAACGTATGTGCAAAAATGCACCGCAAAACACAATGCAGAAACGGATCAAACGCAAACTTCATAGGTGTGAACCTAGCGTAAGTGACATTAGCAGAATACAGCTAATTAGCCTCTCTATCCCAGAATATATTCACTGAGATGCCCATAATTGTAAACCCATTCTTATCAATCAGTTAATATCTTTATCCCAGAGAGGGGATTTAAGCCAGACTTATACAATAATAAGCATGTAAATCTCAGGGCAGGACAGAAATAAAAATCAGCCAGGTAAAACATTTCCCTTATATGTATTTATTCTTGTGTATTTAGCATTTGCCTGCAGTCCAGCTTTAAAGAAGAAGCAAAGCAAAAGTGAAGGTATTGCCTACTACAGCAATGTATGATGTTTTTGCTGTTAAAGAAACAACAGATCTGCCCACATTATACTTTGCTTTAAACAAGCCATAGATTATACAATGGGTGGAAGGAAACAAAATTGTTTGATTCCCCCTTAATTACAGTTAGTGTTGATGTGGGAACCTCTCTTGCTGCACTATTGTATTCTGTCAGTGGGGAGCCTTCGCTGTTAGCAGAACACAATGATCACTGCTAGTGGCTATAGCTGTCAGCAGTGATCACATGCAAAAACTCTGACAGCCTGGTTGTACTGAAGTTGATTGATGGATCGACTTCAGTATGACCACCCTGCCCATAGATAGATCAAATTTCAACTGTTTCCTGCTGAACCAGCTGAGATTCAATCCATCTATGGCCAGCTTTACTTGAACTTTATGACTTCTTTTAAAGCGGTAGTAAGCCATAGCCTTTTTTTTTTTTTTTTTTTTTTAATAAACCTGCAAAACAATGGCATAATGTGCTAGTATGCATCACATACTAGCACATTAGGAAGTACTTACCTTAGAAAGAAGCCCTCCAGCGGCACATTGTCACCGCTGACAAGGCTTCCATCTTCACCTGGTCTTTCTTCCAGGTTCGCATGCTCCAACCTTCTGACTGGCCGGGCAGCGATGATGTCACTCCCACGCACCACGGAACTCTGAAGGGACGGCACAGGTTTGCTGTCCCTTCAAAGTGCATGCCACGGATCACTAGCTGCATGCAGTGTGAAATATCTCCTATAAACAGTGCAAGTTTAGGAGATATTCACTGTGCCTACAGGTAAGCCTTATTATAGGCTTACTTGTAGGTACAAGTTAAAAAAAAAAAAAATTTACTTGCACTTTAAAGCTCAGTGAAAATTACAGTTTTATTTATTACTTAAAAGTACTTGTATAGCGTTGTCAATTTACGCAGCGTGCGATATATATTGTACATTCACATCTGTTTTACTTCATTTAGAGTCTTATTTATGTTCAGATAACCCGGTCTTAAAATAAACACAGACAAGTCTTGTTTAGCATTTGACCAAGTTTTAACATTTTATTTTTAAAGGCTTCATAGAGACTATAATTCAAAACTGCATAAGGTATTGTTTGCTAAACTGTAGTTAATGCTGTGTCACTGGCATTCTGAGTCATCCAGTGAGTCAGCCCTTTATTCATGCATGCACAGGCACATTTGCTGTCAACACGCACTGGTATTTTTCCAGCACTAAAATATGGACAGTTCAGGTGAGGTTTCTTCAAAAATACTTTGCCTGACCAAAATTAAACTGGAATTTAAAGATGTTTAATCTGATTATGTTTTTCTTTCCCTGCTCCCCCACAACATGCTAGAAGCATTTTTAAATAAAAGCATTGCTTTTTGTTTTTTTTTTTGTTTTCTTGTACTTTTTAGACTCAGCATCATCATTGGGTTTTTTTGCTTTTCTATGCATTGCGGGCAAATCGTGTCCAGTGGATGGAGCTGGCAAGGGGTTGAACATAGCTTCATGAAAACATTATAGCACCCTGCCTCAGTACTTTTTCCTCAAGAGTCCTCAGCCTTGATGCTTGCAGTGAGCTGTCTTTTGGAAGGAGTTATGCAAATAATCAAAATGTCATGATGGATGGAAGTCAGTCTGGGGAAGTAGGCATTCCTAGGCAGACTGAATTTGCATCCAAACTGACCTAGATGATACCTACATGTGATGTTGAACCTTCATGATTGAACTGAAATCTAATAAATGAAAAGAGTAGGCAAGAAATAATATAGCTAGGGAGGAAGGGCAAGTTGATACTGGACATCCTCCAGCCAGGTAATGAACTAGGCTCTATTTAATTTGCAACAGCTTCTAATGCACACTGTGGGAAGCTTAAAATGTGCAAGACTGAATGTAAGGCTGGAGTTCAGCTAAAATTGCATCTGTACTGAACAAGAAATGTATAATTTAGTTTTACAGCTTAATTTTAGTCAGTATGTAGAAATTATTCTGGATTTAATTGACTAAAGTATTAAAATGTAGGTTATCTGTATTTTCCAGGCGTTCCAGCACAAAGCTCCTGTGGAATGGGATCTCGTCACAGCGCTCCTAATTTGTCAGATTTACAACCATGCCGGCAGAAAATCAAGAAACAACTTTCAGATCCCATGATGCCCAAAGACACCCAGACAACGCAATGTTCCCCCCAACAGATCCACAATCTGCAGCCCGCCCGTTCTCTTAGGTCCTCCCCCAAATTCTCTGAGTTCATGCAGAGAAGCCCCCTTCCTACTATACTGGGGTCACCGACAAAGGTGAGTAAAATAACAAAACTGTAGGATAGAGCAGTCATTTTTTGGGGATCTTAAAATAAATCGCTTACAATGCATGATCTTGGGAATCTGTCAGTACACACACATACACAAAAAAAATAGACTAGAACCGCAGTTGGCTTCCTTAAGTGGTTGTAAATGTTTAAATATACTAAATGAAGTGACTTGCCTCAGGTGATACACAGAGATGAAACACACCCTCATACATAAGTTGTACATGTGTATCTGTAGCAATTTTTCCTGTACATCCTTGTAAAACTCAGAGATAAAAAGGATTTTTTACAGACTCACAAAGCAGGGGGTGGGGATCTGCAGTTACATGCTGTACAAGAGCTCTGAGAGCTGAGTGTAGGGAAGGGATACACCCCCTTTCACACAGAAACAGAGCAGGTGAAATAGACACCTCTTGATCATATTCAAAGTCGTCCATTCTTGTCTTATTGGGGCTTTTAAGATGCGACACATCTTCATGTTCTGAGTATTCCATTTTTATCGGTTTCTTATTGTAACGGAACCGGAACCGGAACCCAGACCGCACTGAGTTTTTCCGTTATAGCACAACTTCCCCTGTCCGAACACCATCCACGGACCACACCCTCGGAATCGCTCAGGAAAATAGACAATACCCAGCTCCTACTAAAACAGGAAGCCAACTCCTCTTTATTTTACACAAAACACAGAATATATACAGAGGGCGGGGAAACACAACCAGGAACAAGAAATACATCATCAGCCCACCCTCTCAGTGGGAAGGGCTACAGTATAGGCAGGAAACACCTCATCACCCCTCCCCATCCAACCAGACACAGAACAATGGGATGCAACCATGTGGCAAAGGACATTGCCAACCCCCACACCAATACACAAACAGTACATCCCATAATAGTTCGCTGCACAGGAAGACACAGCACCATGGGGGGTAGCACATGGTAAACAGACAATGGTCAGCCATGTGGCCTAGACAAAGTAACACACACTATACACAGGACTCAGACATTCACATACACACCCTGTAACCCTTAACAGGCACAGGGTGGGTTAAACATAATGATTTGGGGAGATGATACAGAGGTCCCCCGAAACCCAAAAGTCACTCCCGTCACATATCTCCCCTTTCGGCAGGAGACTAACACAGGAGTATATCCCAGACGGATGTACTCTGAAGTTAGTCGGTACCTCCAGTCTCTCAATGCCAGCACCCACATAGTACCGCATGCAAATTGTCCCACACCAAGCGTTACTCACCCAGCCAACCTCTGCCTCTCCTGTAGAACATACCCGCCGCTGGGGAGAAGTACGGACTGGTCCTTCTCCCGGAAATCCTCTCAGCCGCTGGAGAGAAGACAGGGTGGCTGGGCCGACTCCATCCTTCTGTAGGGGATCTGGGCTGACTACCCAGCATCCCTGGGGTATCCAAGTGGTGACTGTAGTTGCTAGGCAGAGGCCAGCGGCACTCTGCCCTGGTGCCAGCGCTTCTGCTGGGGACCCCACATCTGCTCCGGCTAACCGTGGGGGAGGGAGGCTGTCTTCCCCCACTCCCAGACTGTGGATCTGCTGCTGGGATGGCATTCCTCTGTCACTGTCCCCCTGGTGCACAGATCCTGGATTGGGAGGGAAAAGAGTTTCCTCCACTTTGGCTGACTGTGGGGGAGGGAGGACAACAACCTCCTCTCCCTTCTCACCCTGGGCCTCTGAAACTACCACAGGTGTGGGGCAGAGGTCCTGGACCCTCTGTCCGGTTGTCAGCGCTTCAGCTGGCAGCTCCCCGGCTGGTTCCTCCTCAGAAAAAAAATCAATCAAATCCCCAGCCTCTGGAACTGGGGTTTGGGGATCGGGGCTCTCCATCTCCTGTCCGTGGAACTCAGGAGACATTACCAGTGCTGGGCAGAGTTCAGTACTGTTTGGCCCTGTTGCCAGGTCTACTGCTGGTTCCTCCTCAGCTGAGAGGTCTATCAGATCCCCAGTCTCTGGAATTTCCACTGATGACTCTTGGGCATGCTGCCGAACATATCCTAGCAGTTGCCTGTATGCCCTTTCCAGGTGCAGTTCTTTCATCAGCAGGTATTGCAGATCTGGCTCAAGCTCTGAGATCCCTCTGAGACCGAACATAGCCTCTCTGCCTTCCCGCAACTCCTCCAGAGTAGGTTCTCCTCTATCGCCAAACACAAAAAGATTTGTAAGGCTCTCCCACAGCAATCCAGGCCCACCAAAGTCAAGTCCCTCAGGAGAGCACTCTGTGGACACCCCTAAATATTCCTGCTCTGTGTACCACTGCAGAGCCCGATATCTATTGTCCAGTTGTATCTCCTGCTGGACTAGCCTGTCCAACTCAGCCAAACCATTGCTCCTGGGGTTGCTCTCCCAGGAATGGCATCCGTGACTTCCGATGGTCCCTGGCCCGTTCCCCTGGGGTTGGGTAGCACTTGCCTTTGTCCATACCAGCAGCCTGGACCGCTCCCTCCAAAGCACCTCCCAAATCCGCTGCCTGAGCTCCAGGTACTGATCCATAGACACAGTCCTGGGGTATGTTGCAAGAACAGTCTGTAGTAGCCCTGGGAACTCGGATGCCAGGTCCATATCTCCACTGGGGTGACTGACGTCTTTTCCTGCTCTTGAATCCCGGTGGTGGTTTGGATGTGTTTACAGCTGGAAGCACAATCCCACTGCTGCCACCAATGTAACGGAACCGGAACCCAGACCGCACTGAGTTTTTCCGTTATAGCACAACTTCCCCTGTCCGAACACTGTCCACGGACCACACCCTCAGAATCGCTCAGGAAAATAGACAATACCCAGCTCCTACTAAAACAGGAAGCCAACTCCTCTTTATTTTACACAAAACACAGAATATATACAGAGGGCGGGGAAACACAACCAGGAACAAGAAATACATCATCAGCCCACCCTCTCAGTGGGAAGGGCTACAGTATAGGCAGGAAACACCTCATCACCCCTCCCCATCCAACCAGACACAGAACAATGGGATGCAACCATGTGGCAAAGGACATTGACCAACCCCCACACCAATACACAAACAGTACATCCCATAATAGTTCGCTGCACAGGAAGACACAGCACAATGGGGGGTAGCACTTGGTAAACAGACAATGGTCAGCCATGTGGCCTAGACAAAGTAACACACACTATACACAGGACTCAGACATTCACATACACACCCTGTAACCCTTAACAGGCACAGGGTGGGTTAAACATAATGATTTGGGGAGATGATACAGAGGTCCCCCGAAACCCAAAAGTCACTCCCGTCACACTTATTACCAAGAGAACCAGTTATTTTTTAACTAGCCATCGACTAAGAAATATTTAAGATCAAAGGGCTGCTCTGTTCTGTGTCCTTTAAAAAGTCAAGCCCCAGTAAACCATGTGGTTTTCTAAGATTTCTATGCATTTTTTTTGTTTAAATAAACTTCCTGTCTTTCTAATATTATTGTTCAGGAGGAATGTGAGTCAATAATATATTTTTCATTCTTTTTTTGTTATGCTTGTTGCAGAGTATATCACCATTTGAGTTTCCCAAGCCAGGCAGCTCCCAAAACTTGCTAACTCTTCTCACTCAGCAAGGAATGATGGTCCCTCCAACCAGGAACAAGACTCTCCCAGACTTGAAGAACGCGGTTCATTACCAGTACCAGCAACCTGTTCTGGGCCTACGTCCTGTGGAAGAAGGGAAAAGTCCTTTTGGCAGGTAAACCTATAGAAGTATAGGCCTTTCTTTATATGTCATTAAAGGATGTTGAGATGGGTATATTTGATGTAACTAGGTCTGAATGATTTATGTGATGGTCTTGTCACCACCTCTTAAAGCCCATATCCCCGCTCTTCAACGCCCTGATTCTTTTTTTTTTTTTTAATTTAAATCTCTTTAAACATACCTTAAAGTTGAACTACAAGAATTCATCCATATTGTAAAATGTGAAGGCATACTATGAGTTAGGCCCAACGAGGTGCATGCCATCTCCTGGACTTATCGTTTTCATTTACATCTGACAGTGTTATGGCGCACTAGAGGTAGCTATTGCTACCCTTCTGACACTGGACTCAGTTCCTTCAGGTCTCAGCTCCTTTAGCTGTAGAGTCACATGCAGCTGCTGTGCCCGCCTCTACCCTCCTCCTGCTCAATCACAAAGCATATTGTATTATGTGAACTCCTTCACAAAATATAAAGGTTTCTGTGAATGGGCAAGTGGGGAGGGATGGGCAGAGTGCTGTGCATTAGAAAACAGCGTCTCTCCTTGTCAAGGCCCCAGGAGATTTCCTCTCCCCCCAGGTGCTTCATAAAATCGTCAGATATAAATTAACAGGAGGTGGAAGGCGCCTCATTGAACTTGACTCATAGGGGATTATTTGCTAAAACTTGTGCAAAGTCTGGTGTAGCTCTGCATAGAAACCAATCAGCTTCCAAGATTCATTGTCAAAGCTTAAATGAACAAGCTGAAGTTAGAATCTAATGCAGCTATTCATAGTAGCCAATCAACTTTTGACGTCAGCAGCTTTAGTAAATCTTCCCCATAATATGGCTGCACATTTTTCAATGTGGCTGAATTTGTGGAGTTCAGCCTTAAACCCAGCAGTCACTTTATCCAGTCAGGTGTTGATTACCACTGGAAATGTTTTTTAGTAATTATGCCCAAGGCACATAGTTGTAAAGCTATCAAGATAAATTGTCATTACCTTGTAATTTGAAAAACATTAATTGAGTACAGACTGTATTTTTTTAAAGACACTATCCACAAGAGCTACACTTGTAGCAGCATTTTTCCCAGGTTGATTAGCTTATTTTTAACTTTACAGATAGGTCTGGGTAGGCTGGCAGCTACGTTGAAGTTTAGTGATGAATATTCAGGAGATAATAGAGTATTATTATTATCATATAGTATTTATAAAGTGCCAATAGTTCGCTCAGCGCTGTACATTACAAAGGGGGACAGAACATGTGACAGAACAATACCAATACAATGCAAAACATGAGGAAATTGAGGGCCCTGCTCTTTCAAGCTTACAATCTAGGAGTGGCATTTATCAGTTGAGCCAAAATGGATACTATCGCCAAGATAAAACGTGCCTTTTGTGGTTCAGTATACTTAAACAGATGCAACTATGTGAAAATCATTATATTTTAGTGATATATTAAGTACAGAGATATTAACACTTAATAGTTGCATATGCTGCAACTTTCTAGTTCCCAACCTTTATTTCCATTTTACTTGTACCTCACCTGAGTGTCATTTTATGGTTGGGGTATGACAATTGCAATAAGATTGCCTTTGTGTTCAAATATTTACATATATTGATTAGGTGAAAAAAGTGCAGCTACAAATGATCTGAAGATAAAATCCAGCACAGTCAATGCAACTCTGGCATCAGAGATACACATCTCTGGTTCAAAAGAGTAAACTGTAAAGGTAACTTTTTGCCGGCCAACCATAGGTAGATTGGAAGGAAAATTAAATTTACAAAATTACATTTATCATGCTAGAAAATAGTACCATATTAATCTTTTAGGATTTTATTAGAACATTATTAATCTTTTAGGATTTTACTAGATCAGCATGGTGAAATAAGTGACATTAATTGCAGTGTAAACAGCCAAAGGTTGTTTTGTGTGGTCATTTTCTCACTAATGCTGGCCATATACTGTTAGAAATTCACTTTTAGGAGTGGCCCTGTCGGCCCCCTCCTATATCTTCACTTAAAAAAATAGTAGTCACTGTTTGGTTATTCTGCCAAGCACCGCTGACCCAGCGGGGGGGTTTGCTGTATAGCATGAATTGATTAAACTTTTTTTTTTTTTCTAATACTGTATCACAGGTTTGTGATAGGATAACTAAAAGCTGTTACAGAAGTGCGGTTGTATACACCTCAGATTATTATCAACCCTACTGCTCGGAATGTTTGTTCCAGGTTGTTATATGAACTCTTATCTGTGTCCTGAAATAATTCCACTGTGAAGTAATGGATGAATTGCCACATGCTGATAACCTGTACAGTTATCTGTACAAAACATTTATTTTCATAATGAAGTATTGTTTACTGCTAACATTAACCTTAGCAGACCCTTTATATACAATGTTGTTTCTCTATTTTCTCCTCAAGTGACTTATGTGTTTAATGTGTTTATATGTTAAACTTTTTAAAGACTCCAACAATATATAATCATGTTTCCGAAGCCTAAAGAGAGCTTAAAACTTGATATAGAATACAGCAGTTCCTTCACTTTGGGTTAAAACATGTCTGAATACATATATGACATTTTTCCAACAGGTCTCTAAGCACAGGCAGACTCACAGACCTCTTGCTTAAAGCAGCATTTGGAACACAGGCTACTGAGATTGGGAGCACTGATAGCCTCAATGCAGAGAAACCAATGGAAATAGCAGGTGGGCATAATGCATGATGTCTGTGTTTACTCTGGAAAATATGTATACTCTTAAAGTCTATCTCCAGAAAAAGTAAAAATCTCCCTTGCAGTGGGGCTGCTCTACACTGCAAAGTTTAAATGCTTTTTTTTTATGTCTGAGTGACCAGGATGATCCCCTGGGAGTTAGCACTCTCTACTCATCTCCTGCACTCTGGCAGTGGATGGTCCCTTGGCTTCCTCACCTCCAGTACAGGACTATGAGCTCTGCATTGGACTTTATGACATCAGAGGACTTGCTGCTGCCAGAGAATAGGGGATAAAAGGCTGCAGATGCTGGTCTTACAGCATCCGTCTCCGGGAGCAGAGGACTGGGTAAGTAAAAAGTGCTTTTGGCAGCCCCTTAGACCTAACAAGCATTTTTAGACCTAAACGAAGATATTTACTTTTCCTGGAGTTCAGCTTTAACTTTCTGTTGGTTTAAATGCATAGAACTGTACAAAGATTGCTTTCACTAAAATGTGTTCCTTTTTGTTGCCTTGTTTCCATTTTTTAATTCATACTTTAAGCCTGATGCCTACAGATTTCCTCTTGGAGAAAACTGTATGCACTATATATTACATTCTTATACATATGAATTGCTGCAGTGGGCTGTGTCATCCTTTTGCCTTTTGGGCCACTTCTTGCATCACTATGTGTATTGCCCTAGTTCCCATAGCAGGCAGCTTTCTCCTATGTTACTCTGAATGCAGCACTGGATGTTTTAGACATACCTGCAGTGGGGAATCAAGGTGTCATTCTGAGTGATATAGCTTGTGCTTGTGAACTGTGTCAGTAAATGGTAGGAACAGCTACATCCCCATTGTGAGCTCTTACCATATCACTAAAAGTAATGTTATGTACTCTGTTTATTTCAAGGTAAATATAAGCCTACCATATAATGGAACTGGAGGCTTTCACACTGGTACTATCATAGGAGACCTAGACTGATTGGCTCGCTGTAGCTGTACATCACAAATTGTGTAACTGCTTGTGGAACTATGTGCATGTATTATTTTAAGACATTGGGGTTGATTTATTAAAACTGGAGAGTGCAAAATATGCTGCATCTGTGCATGGTAGTCAATCAGCTTCTAACTTCAGCTTGTTCAATAAAAGTGCTAGTAAAGTCTGTTTTTTAACTTTTACCTACAGGTAAGCATATAATAAGACTTACCGTTAGGTACTGTAAATATCTCCTAAACGTGCACATTTAGGAGACATTTACCTGTGTAGTGCACCAGCGCATGCACTCTGAAGGAATGGCATACCCATGCCATTCCTTCAGAGTTGTGTGCCGTAAAAAGTGACTCCCATGCGCAGTGACGTCATCGTGGCTCGGCCGAACCCAGAAAAAAGGACCGAGTGAAGATGGAAGCCCTGTGAGCGGTGACAGCGTGCCGCTGGAGGGCTTCATTTTAAGGTAAGTTTTACATATGTGCTAGAATGTGATGCATGGTAGCACATTATGTCTTTGTCTTGCAGGGGAAAACTTTTTTTTTTTTTAACTAGAGTTTTCTACCACTTTAAGCTTTGCACTCTCCAGTTTTAGTAAATCAACCCCATTCACTGAAAGGTGGGAAAGGCTAGTTTTTTGTTTTTTTTTTAAAATGAGTTCATATTGACTTAGTCAATTAGTACAACATCTCCAGGCTTTGTGGGACAATACTGCTCCCCTCCTTGTTTGTGACCCATTCTGTGTATTAAATGACTTACTGTGTGGAGTTCCTTCTTTTCAGTCATCAGTCTAAATATATAATCACATTTCCCTTGCTCTCTTCTTAATATACATGTTCTGATGGATATTGAAAACATGCATTGTAGTCTGTCATGTCTGTTATGACGTGGTGTTTATTTTAGTTTGTGAACACTAGCCGAAAGAACATTCACTAAGTTTTTTTTTTTTTTTTCAAATGCTGTGAGAATCTTTTGTGAAGACCCTAAAGCACCCTTCAGCTCCAGTTTGGAGTGCCTAATAGAGATCCCGATGAATGTAAATTACTGAAGTTTGCTAAAGACCTGTTTCAAGCAGTCAGGCAGCACAGCAAGCTTTTAATTACTGACCCCTCCAGCTGAAAGGCTAGTTTCCAGACCCAATGATTACAAGCTGAGACAGCCAGACAACTAGCTATTTCGGAAGGATTTAGCAGTGACAGTCCCCGTATTTCTCTCAGTACAGATTTCATTTACAATCTGTAAAACTTAGCATTCTAAGACTGGAGATGAAGGGTGCTTTGAAGTCCTAACAAAAACTGCTTGAAGCTTTTGAAATGATTTATAAATATCTGCTTGTATTTTACATAGAGTTTTATGTTTTTTAGCACCTTTAATTGGCTATGCTGGAAACTTTCCCAGTGGGGCACAAGGCTCTCTTAGTCCAGCTCCTGTCATCTTCACTGTGGGTTCTCCCCCTGAGGGCACAGCTACTACCCAAGGAGCACGAACCCGGCTCTTCTCAGGTAAATCTCTACCTGTATTAGTAATACTGGTCATTATGTATACCTAATGAAGAGAGAATTGACATTTCTTTAAACTGGAAAATTCTAGTTTGTTACTATGCTATGGACAGCACGGCATTTATTTCCTATAGTTTCTACTTCTGTTGTGCTTATGATGTTATTTCTTTACCCATTGGTTATCCTTGTATAGTAATACTCACTATCTTTTTCTTTCTTTTTCACACTTAGTTGGATCTTCAAGTTCTCAAAGCTCAGCTGGCTCATACACTGGCAGACATGTTGTTGTTGGCGCTGGAGGTGAGACCTTTGAAGCTCCCTCTAGCCTCAGGTACACGTTTCCAGAAGCCACTACAGCAAATGCTGAAGGAGTTGTGATGTTTGAAGTTCCTGAGCTTCCTGAAGAGACGCTCATGGAGGTACAGATATTTTAATTAAATTCTGTGTGCAAACTGTAATGTAGTTCATGGAAAATGTTGACATAGCAAGTGGTTTGAGACCACAGACGGAACAACACTTTTTTGTCTAGCCCTTCCTGTCTATATTAATAGACATAATCAAAGACGATTCCTGTTTCCTGTGCACACCTTGACAGATATAGCAAGTGTACACAGGATTAAACCCACAAGAGTTCAGTTATAAGTCACAGGAAAATGTTGCATGGCTCAGCTGGACACCTGGGATACATCAAGCTGCCAGAACATTGGGCAGTTAATGCTCACTTGGCATTTCACAGCAAGCAAACATGATGAGCAAGTAGCTAATTTTGTCATGGTTAATCTGCTGCTGAAAAGTAAAATGTCCACACACATATCCTCCCACCTATTACTATAGAACTTACGTATATACCCTTTTATGACCAAAAGTATTACGTACAGCTTCTCTGCATTCCAGGATAAGGGCGTAGTTCAGGGGTGCTCAACCTTTTGAAGAGTGAGGGCCACTTAAGTAATTTGGTAACCAGTCGCAGGCCACAATGAAATGAAAAGGTTCAGAATCTGTATTTTTTTTTATTTTGAATAGCATAATGAACATTTTCTTCCTGCAGCCACTGAATTGCAGTGGAAGGGAAATGAGGAAAAGCCAGCTTTTAGCCATTACAGATGCTAAATGGAGAGGATCGTTTCCTGTATATGCCGCTCCCACTGCCAAGTGTAAAACAGAATGGGTCCCCTGGTGTATGGGGCAGGCAATGCCTGATGCTACACCAGGGGGGGTAAAAACTACCCGGCCCCCAGCAGCAAACGTAAATGAGCCTTTACTGCCTGATCTCCCCATAAGGCCACTTTCACAGCACAGCACAGTGCACATTCAGCTTACCTGTGCGTTAGCTATGCTTTGCCATAAACTTCTATTATATCTTGTGGGTGTGTGTGGTGCACTTTCTGAAAGTGCATTCCTGCGGGCCACAGGTTAAGCACCTCTGGCTTGGTTAAATGTACTTCTAAGGGCTTGCGTAGACTCCTGCAGTTTAGAGCTGCCATATTGCTATAGTATTGTCTTTTCTCTGAAAACTACTTAGAATGTGAACTGATCGGGCTGTACAACTACTCCAGTAGAAAAGGTTATTCTTGTTCTTATTGTAATAGTCCCAAATCTATCCATGATGTCTAACGGATGTATAGGTATTTGGGTCTCCATTGCCTTAGCAATAATGCCCAGACATTTTATCAATTTCAGCAAGAACACACGGACACTCTCCGCAGCTTACGGTTCACTCTGGCCTTTGCTCATTCAGTCATGGAGATTGCCAGCCTCAAGGGAAGCTCTGTGGATACCAGTGCATCTGTCACATCTGAGTACCAGATGCAAGAGAGTGTCGTGGCCGATCAGATCAGCCTTCTAAGCAGAGAGTGGAGGTGAGATTTCCTTATGGGAAGACAAGATGCTAACTGAAATGTAATTTGAAAGCAAGCAATTATAATGTTATGAGTATTACAGCCACATAGTTACAGGCATATTCAGAAACCTTGTGCAGGGAGAAAATTACTAATAGTTATATTTCTGAAGCAGTAAACTGACATTCACCAAACATTCACTCCAGGTACATATTTTTAAATGACTGTGATTGATTCACCACCACCTGTGAATGTTTGCTGAAAGCCTTATTCACTACTTTATAAATATGCATCTAAGTGTTAAGTTCATCACCCGCAACTGTACTGGTATGACATCAGTAAATTGTTAATTGTGTTATGGAGTACTTTACCGTATACGTGATTCTTTACCCTGTGCACTGTTTTTTTAAAAGAGCCATGTGTGTGCTTATTGTTGTCTTTACAACAGAGTGCAATTTGATGATTGTATTTGCTAGAATATGTTACCAGGGCTTCTTCATTGAAGTAGTATGAAGGGCTTTTGCCCTTGGCCCTGCACAAGACAGTATTTGGCCTGGTTCCTTAATACAATACAAAGATGGACATCAGAACTAGAGGTCCTGAGATTATTTCTACCTTAGCCTCTTGAGGTCCCAGGGGCACAGTTGGTCAATTGTCATAGGTTGCTTTCATACTAATCCATTTTTCTTCTGTGTTTGCATTAAAAAAAGCAGAAGAAAAAACATATGACCATTAAATCCTATGGAACTCCTCACACTGGTCATTTGCGGGCCTGTTGCATTTTTCAAGTCCTGCTTGCTGCACATTTGCTGCACGTTTGAATAGAAATGAATGGAAAACACAGCAAAAACACAGCAAAATGCACCCACGTTTATATTTTTTGTGCGTTTTTTTTTTTTTTGAGTCAAATGTCCTTTTTTCACAGGTGCACCGGAAATGCGGCAAAACCGCATATGTGTGTTTTTACCACATTTTTGTAATGAGTAAATCATTGTAATCAGAAAATAATTCACTGCTTTTAACAAATACTGTATGTGATATGTAGTATAAGCACTACCATGCAGCTTACTAACAATAGCTGCAGAGACAAGAAAGCAATGACTGTTGTTACCTGCTGTTAGTCACTGTGACTGGTCAACATTGTCTTTGGGCTTGTGCTGGGCTCTCTCTTTTTCAAACTGTTGTTTATAGCAATGTATTTATTACAATCTTTTGAAAAAAAACACATAATAAAAAAAGCTGTGCCAGAGCAATCTGGAGACTGTGAAGGGATGATACCCCTTTGGACAGAGGAAAGGGATCCTCTACTAGCATTTGTAAAAAGCAAGATCAGCAATGGCAGCCTTTATGTTTTCTATCATGACAGATTAAATTCAAACAAGCATAATGCCATCATTTTTTTGCTGTTTTATTTGTTGAACAGCAAAGATTAGCCACTTCCCACCTCAAATCTAAATGTCCTGTTCTGAGGATTTGTTAAAAAATGTCAAGTGACAGAACAAGCAGTAAGCACCCGTTAGGCTAGTTATGTGACCACGCTGTACCTAACAGCTGTCATATCAGATACAGTGATCTGGAGCCAATTATCACTATCACAGCAGATCATATTGATGACATGGCTTATATACAAACAAACTACAAGACAACAAAAATGGGACCTTTTAGCAGCAACAATAGTACGATAGAAATACAGTATTTATAATCAAAGAATCTTAAAAACGAAGGTTACAGTTTTATCTGGGCAACTACAATGTTACATGCAAACATCTTATAGTGCAGTTCTATACCATACAATACAAATGTCAGATATGTCTGCAGTGGACATGATGCCAGTGCTGATCGAAAATACCATGTACACTATAATGCAATATCCAAAAGCCATCTCCAAAGCATAATTGCTACAAAAACACTTGAAGGTCACAATGCTATATGTCCGTCTTCGGTACAGTTACCAGATCTACATGGAGGTTACAATGTCAAATATCAATCTCCAGTATAATACACCCAATGCATTGCGACTATGAATTTATCTTCATCAGGGGAAACTGGAGAGGTCCAATGGATATTAAACTATGGAGATCATTTCCACTATTTGAAGGCGTCGCCCTGGGAAACCCACACATCCACCCGGGTAGGCCAGGGCTCCCAAAGAGCACAGACATAGGCCAGGTGCAATCAGTGGTGCCCATCCACAGCAAGCACTCTGTAGGTATTTGCATTAAGATTTCAAAAAATTAAAGGCCGCAAATGGAGGATTAGTGTACCCAAAGGTTAAATATCAAGATATGTATCTCCATGTGTGTTAATTAGAAAAATCTCAGGTTGATTCGAAAAAAGGTAATAACTTAGGCAGTGGGTTAATATACCACAGGGTTTAGTTGCATAGGAAACTGATATCATGTGGCACTTTCCAATAAGAACTCTAGGATGCTGCATGTGTCTACACAGGCTAAACCCTGTGGTACATTAACCACTGCCTATGGTCTTGTAGTACTAAACAAGGGATGTAGCAGCATGATATTCACAATACCATCACCACCCTTAATGTGTATTGATATACAGACAAACTGACACCAACTGGCTTGTACCTCACAGAAGGAAAAAGACACTTAGGTAGAAGCAGTTAGCAGACTGAAGCTATGAAAAAGTTATGCCGACTGTAAAATAAAAAAATACAATTGTAAAAGGTGTAACTTGCTTTTTTTTAGTATATTCCTGGAGTTGACTTCTTTTTTTCCCTCTCTAGTTATGCCGAACAGCTAGTTCTTTACCTGAAAGCAGCAGAACTTCTCTCAATTGGGCTGCAAACTGCCATGGAGCAAGTCAGGACTGGTAAACTGTGTCTCTCTTCCACTGTTAAACAGGGTAAGTATTTTCTATGTATACTGCACAATAATATCTAAGTGCATAGCCTCATTCTGTGTGTACATCAATACATGATTAAAAATGTGCAGAAGGATACCCGTTTACTAATTACCTCATCCATTGTGAGCCGGAGTACGTACAGAATATATTTGTTCAATTTAGTTCATGCTTACATATAGGTGTTCTGAACATTACACTTATTTTACTGCTACCGTTCACTATAAATTCATCTAATTAAAAATCCATGTTCAGTTTCAGAAAAGAGCTCACATGATGAAAGTGATATGACTTTCTTTACTATCAGGACTGAAATGCTGAACTGCACTCTGGTCCAGTAAACAGGATAAATGATGCAACTCCCAAAGCAGTAAACTTCACCTGTTTATTGTGGCTCCATAGCAGGGGGAATATCAATGGTGTGCACCAGACTATTTTCCACTTGTAGTCTTTAGTTGCTTGTCCTCCCTCTGCATTTCCAGTAGCTGTATTCAGGCTTCACCATTCACTGCACAAGTAGAATGCAATGCCAACCAGCCCACATGTTCACACAATGATACATTTATGATGTTCATCCCTACAAGATGCTGCTACATGCTACTTGTTTAGCTTATTGTATAGGGAGCCATTTGTTCATTCTGCTTAGTGATCCATTGCTACTCTGTCATTAAGCGCTAGTAATGTTAGCAGTGGGATTGAGCTGCTAAAATTCTCCTGTAGACTGATTAAAGCTAAAGTTTAACTAGAAAAACCCTATAGCTTTAGTCACATCACTTACCTGTAATCAAATGTGTACCACATTGTGCAGGGAGCTGGATCCTGGGAAAATCTTCTGTGCTGCGATTTCTGTCCTCCTCCTGTGTCTGAACCTTCAGCACTTCAGTGGTTACCAGCTTCAGACACAGCAGTCCAGGTGGTCTGGTGGGGACACATCCCCTCCTTCTCCTCCTCCACTGAGAAAAGGTCTTTAATTGATCAAACTACCTATAAACACAGTCTGTGAATGGTGATTGGTCAGTCACAAGATTCTCTCCTCCATTCACGAATTGTGTCACAAGCAGTGTAATCAATGAAAGTACTTTTCTTAGTGGAGGAGGGAGGATTGAGGGGCTGTGTCCCCACCAGACCATCTGGACTGCTGTTCTGCCTAAAGGTCTGAAGCTGTTAAACATTTGCAGTGCTGGAAGTTCAAAGACAGAGGACAGGGCTCCTCTGCCCAGAAGATTCCTGCACAACGTGGGATATACAATACTTCATTATAGGCCAGTAATATGACTGAAGCTGTAAGTATTTTTTTAACTTCAGTTTTAAGGGACTAGAACCAAATTATTATATCTCCTAGTAGCAACGGTTTAAAATCATCCAAGTAGTTTTAGCCTTAAAGTGATATTAAAGGCGATTATAAAATAACAATCATGTCATACTTGCCTACTCTGTGCAGTGGTTTTGTACAGAGCAGTCCCATTCCTCCTCTTCTCTGCTCTTCTGCCAGCACTCCTGGCCCCTCCCTCCTGCCAAGTACCTCCACAGCAAGGAGCTTGCTATGGGGGCACCCGATCAGGCTCATTCCTGAGCCACTGCTCTGCATGTTCTTTCACACACGGAGCTGCAGCTCGGCCCTGCACCCTCTCTCTCCTCATTGGCTCACTGGCTGAGATTGACAGCAGGAGGAGGAAGAGTCCCTGGGGAGTCAAAGCTCTTGTGCACATCGCTGGATCAGAATAGGGCTCAGTTAAAGTGTTACTAAACCCACAACAGTAAAATCAGTCTGTATATGCAGTAAAGCATTCTTGTTATACTCACTGTGGAGCCTAAGGGGTTAATCCTCTGCATTGTGTAAAAACGCTGTTTATCCTGACTTCTCTGATCCTCCCCTTCTTCCAGTGTCCCCCTCTTATCTTCTGATAAGACATCCAGTGTGGTGTCACTCTGCACTTGCTCAGTTTGGTGTGTATTGCTAGAGAGGTTTTTTTTTTTTCTCTTGGGAGAGTGCATGTGATCAGCACAGGGCCAATCTGCACTGTCCACACAGAGGTCAGGGGTCCTGCATTCTCCTACAGCAGAATGAAAATGCCTCCTACAAGCTTTAACCAGTGCTCTGCTGAACACTGAGACTGCTCTAACTGCTGATGAGAAAAGGTATTTAGTAGCTTATATTTGCTAAAATAATTTCACTTCCATGTTGTGTGTACTGTGGGAGACCAGATATAGTGAATGCAGGGTCCTGGGTTTAGTAACACTTTACGTATTGGAGAGGGGCTGGGGGCACTGCTGCACACAGGAGGTTTTTTATCTTCATGCATAGAATGCATGAAGGTAAAAAAAAACATTCTGCCTTTATAACCTCTTTAAAAGTACACATCAGCTTTTATTTGGAACCCCTGCATCAGAGTGGTGCTAAAGTAGATGTTCAAAAGAAAAACCAGCTGTCTTATACATGTGCTGCAGTTTTCTCCATAGCTCCTTCAAAGCATGTGGAAGACAGACACGGTCATTAGAAAGCAACATTGTTAAAGTAGAGCTAGAAGAAAAAATTCACTTTTGATAGAGTAAGGGAGAACTATAACCCTTGCTAGTGTTTTTTTTACCGTCTATGTCCCATTAGGAAGATTTCACTTTCTGTCCTATAGCCAAAAGGTGAAGTGAATGGAAATCTGTTCAAAGTGAGGGAATCCCTTGTCACCTGAACTAGTGTCCCATTGAAATGACCAAATATTTGGGACTTTACTGTTATCACGATGAGTGAAAGTCAAAGAAACAGGAAAAACCGATAGGGGGAATATTCCTAACAGGGGCACAAACAGCAATACAACCATAACAGGTGTTCTAATCTCTCTCCACTCTGTAACTAAAGGAAAAAAAAACTGTTTTTTTTATTGTGGATACTTTAAAGTAATGGTAAAGGTTCCTGTTTTTTTTCTTTTCTTTTAAATAACAAGCATGTTATAAAGTGCAGCGCTAAACATATATAGATAATGACATGTATTCAATCAGTTCGATCAATAAAAAGTCCTCCTCAATTAGGTGACAGAGATTAGGTGCTCAAGTATGCAGGTGACTTAGGTATTCAGGTGACTTGGTTCAGGTATCCGTGCACGAAAGTGATAAAGCAATGCGCACTCACCAGACCCGCATAAAATATGCGCCTTTGTGTATAAATGATCCAGATGTCATCCGATACTGGGTGGTCCTCCCTCAGCTGTGTATGAGGCTGATGATCCTCTCCACTTAGGGGTCCCCCTGGTGTTGGACGTTAAAGGATCTGGTCTGGGTCCCTCCGGTGTATCCAGGAGCAGGTCTGCAAATTAGAGTGCTCCCCCTCCTTGCTGTTCCTTCACATGTGTGTTTCACCCTATAGGTGAGCACAGAAAAACACACATGTGAAGGAACAGCAAGGAGGGGGAGCACTCTAATTTGCAGACCTGCTCCTGGATACACCGGAGGGACCCAGACCAGATCCTTTAACGTCCAACACCAGGGGGACCCCTAAGTGGAGAGGATCATCAGCCTCATACACAGCTGAGGGAGGACCACCCAGTATCGGATGACATCTGGATCATTTATACACAAAGGCGCATATTTTATGCGGGTCTGGTGAGTGCGCATTGCTTTATCACTTTCGTGCACGGATACCTGAACCAAGTCACCTGAATACCTAAGTCACCTGCATACTTGAGCACCTAATCTCTGTCACCTAATTGAGGAGGACTTTTTATTGATCGAACTGATTGAATACATGTCATTATCTATATATGTTTAGCGCTGCACTTTATTTTATGTTTAGTAAGGTCTTCTAGGGGTTATTGGTACCTCATTCGTGCATAGCAGCTTTACAATTGTTTAGTACTAAGGCGCTTCTCTCCAGTCACTTTCAACAAGCATGTTATACTTGCCTGCTCTATGCAGTGTTTTTGCGCAGAGCCACCCATATCCTCATCTCGAGTCCCCCCACTGGTGCTCCTAGCTCCTCACCCCCGCTGATTGCTCTGGGGGCACTCGTGCGTGCTCCCTCTTGAGCAAATCTGTGTGTCTGAGACACACAGAGCATATCTCAGCCCAGGCTCCTGCTCTTTACTCACTGGCTGTGATTCACAGCAGCGGAAGCCAATGGCTCCTGCTGATCTGTCTCAGCCAATAAGGAGGGAGAGGCCTGGGAGAGACTCTTCTCTTGTGCATAGCGCTGGATCACAGTTGGGCTCGGGTAAGTATTAGGGGGGCTGCATAGAATGCATGAAGGTAAAAAAATAAAACTTTAAGCCTTTAAAACCACTTTAGGCGTTTAAGGGTTCAGAAGGTACAGTTTGAACTTTGCTTTGAAAATAATAGATTGTATAGAGAGCTTCTGACTGTATTGCATGATTTATTTTTCCCTTAGTGGTGAAGAAGTTGAATGAGCTGTATAAATCTAGTGTGTCCTCATGTCACTGCCTTAACATAAGGCTCCAGAGGTTCTTTGCTGACAAACAGAAGTTGATGGATCGAATCAACAGCATCACAGCTGAAAAGCTTATCTTTAGCTACACTGTCCAAATGGTAAGAACACAGTTGACATATTATTGATGAATTCACTGAGCACTACCTTACACTTCCTATGTATAACGGAACTAATGAAATCAGTCGTCTTTTGTGTAGTAAATAGTATAGTAAGTGCTTACGCTACAAATGAATTTCTTTTACCATTTCCCACAAGTTATTAACCACTTCAATACCGGACACTTATACCCCCTTCCTGCCCAGGCCAATTGTCAGCTTTCAGCGCTGTCGCACTTTGATTGACAATTGCGCGGTCATGCAACACTGTACCCATATGACATTTTTAGAATTTGTTTCACACAGAGCTTTCTTTTGGTGGTATTTAATCACCACTGCGTTTTTTTTTATAAACACCTGAAACGTTTGAAAAACAAAATGCACATTTCTTCGTTTCTGTTATAAAATTTTGCAAATAAATAAAATTTCTTCATAAATATAGGTCAAAATGTATTCTGCTACATTTGTTTGGTGAAAATAATAATCATAATTGAATTTGTATTTTTATTTCTATTATTTTTTTTTTTGTTATTAAATTTTTTTCTTTTTTTTTTTACTATTTTATTTTTCAGCACACTGTGACCATAGCAATACAGTGTTACCATAGTAACATTGAACTACTGTGGGCAAGTGTTTAGGATTTTTTTTTTTTTTTTAACACACATTATGATTGCTAATACCAATGTATTTCATTGATATTTGCAATCGTGTTACTGAATGAAACTGGTTCATTCAGTCTTTTGTTGTGATTAGCTGTGATTGGGCAAAGTTGATCACATGATACAGATGTGCTGTGAATGGCCCTGTCTGAATCATGTGACTGCTTTGACCAGTCACCGGTAACAACATAATTGTATACAATGGATGGCATGACAGGAAGCCATCCATTGTATACAATTGGCATATGATCTGCTGGCTGTGTCACAGCGGTCACATGACACTGGCAGTGGGCCAGTGTAGTGATATGTCGGTGACAGATCGCGCCTCTGCGCGCTCGTTTTGACAGGACGCCATATGATGCCCAGTCACAACGGCAATCTGATATAGGCTGGGCAGGAAGGTATTAGGCTGCGTTTTTAAGAAATTTTTTTTTTTCTGGTAGGCTTATTGGATACAACAGTGTACAAAAAGTAATGTACTATAACCTACAGCAAGCCACGCAATTTAATTTTTTTTTCTAGCAGTTTGAAGACTGGAATATGTTTGCAGGTTAGCTCCTAGGGGCTTCTGCAATTTACACATTGTTCTCTGCTTTATTAAATAAATTTGGATGCCTTTAGTGTAAAGATCAATGTTTTTTGTGTTTTTAATTCGTGTTTCAGACTATTATAACCTCTATATAACTTTTAGGTTTGCCTCCTAACTCCACTATGTGCCTGAGACTCTAACTATGAATTTTGCCCACAGGTACAGTCGGCGGCTCTGGATGAAATGTTTAACCACAGGGAAGACTGTGTACAGAGGTATCATAAAGCTTTGCTTCTGATGGATGGATTGCTCAGCTTCATGACAGATCAAGCAGATGTAGACAACATCAGCAAATGTGAGTTCACGTGTTAATATATCAAATAATTTTACTTTGATTGAGGCTATAGAGTGAGGCCACCGCTCGACCACGCTATGGCATAGATCATAGAGGTGCTCTGGATGCAGACAGTCTGGCCGAGTGCCATGGTGTCCAGTAAAATGATATGACAGTGGTGGTTAGGAAAGACACTCTTGGCTGCTCTTGTGTTATAATTTCGAGGAATCATGTAGCTGCAATCCTAGAAAAGAAAATGATGGCATTTGGTAGCAGATCTGTTACAAGTGCTCAGATGGTAAACAAGTGAGTGAAGGCTGTGGCGTGTGACTTACCAGTGTGTGGAAAGCTTAAATTTCACACGGAGTAGTATAAATCACCATCTTATTATTCAAAGCTAAATGTCAGTTTTCAGGAAGGATTAAAGTAAATATTGACATAAGGGATAGGTTCAACAGCCTAGCAGTGGTTAGCAGTAGTTCCTAGTAATAAGGAGGACCTCTGCTGGTGATTCCGTGTAATTATATAGTCAGTTAAAAGAAAATGCCATTCACCTAAACACATAGGTTGTCTTCTATTCTAGTTATTAATATGTAACATTCTACTTTAAAACAAGTTCCGAACACAAATTGAAAGGAGGATGAGGAATGCAGGGTGTACAACATTTTTTCAAAATACCTGGAAATCTAACCATGCAATGCTAGACAATGTAGACAAGGCAACCTGTAAAAGATGTGCAGTAAGTAGTCATTATTACAGCTATAAAAGTGCTCCTGGAGTACTTGGATGCACCTGAATTGTTATCAAACTCTGTGGATCAAATCATGTAGATTAAAGTGACACTAAAGCTTTGTGTTTTTTGTTTGTTTTTTTTAAAAATAACAAACATGTTATACTTACCTGCTCTGTGCAGTGATTTTGCACAGAGCAGCCCAGCTCCTCCTCTTTTTGGGTCCCACTGGCCCTCCTGGCTTCTCCCCTCGAGCAGTGCCCCCCAGGGAAGCTGTTTGCCCTGGGGGCACCGCTGCGTGCTTGTCCCCGAGCCGCTGCTCTATGCATCTATAAGACACATTGAACCCTTGGCTTGGCCCCACCTCCACGCTCTCTCCTCATTGGCTCACTGGCTGTGGTTGACAGCAGTGGGAGCCAATGGGCTCTGGCTACTGGCTCAGCCAGTGAAGAGGAAGAGTCCCCATACAGCAGAGGCTGGGGAGGACTCTGCACAGAGAAGGTTTGTTTTACCTTTATGCATAGAATACATGAAGGTAAAAACCTTTTAGCCTTTAGAACCACTTTAACAAAGGTGTACACTGTTCAGTAGGGTGCTGAGTACAGCTCATGTTGTAGAACTGAAAATATATCTGTGCTCAGTTCCAGACAGCTAAACTGATATATGTTTGTGTTTTTTATGATTTCTTATCCTGCTAAAGTTATTAATGTCCAACATTTCTCTTTACAGGTAAACTTTGCATAGAACGGCGATTATATGCACTTCAAGGCAGCATTTGTGCATAAAGGTTTGTCTCCACTATCTTCAAGTTTGCATTTTTGGCTTACCCTACAAAAACCATTACAAGCACTGTGGCAGAGTTTCAGGTTTCTGCCATTCTTCAGGCTCCTTACTAGCATCAGACAAGGCTGCAGATTGTCCAGTGTCTAAAATAGTGTGGCTCTTTATCAAGTTGCAAATTCCCTTCAACTGCTGTAAGAAAATGGAACTCGTCACTAATCAGAGTTATGGATCTTTTGCATTACTATGGCTAGATTAGTCATAAGCTTGTTGTAAAATGTTACTATGCCACAAAAGTAGGACATCTTTCCTACTGAACAGCATATGCAAAGTTGTGCAGTGCAACACAGTGTGTTATTCCAGCCTGATTCTTTTGGGAGTATAGCCTGGTATACACAATTTGATGGACCTTCACCTGGACCTGAATTCAGATGGTCTGCCAGGAGTATATTTCTTCTTCTGCAACACTGTGTATGCTCCTTATCGTCAGCTGGTACTGAACGTTTGTAGTGCAGAGGTATATGTAAATCTATATGTAAGTAGCCTGCACCTTGCTTTTATTATACTTCCTGCAGACATCACTTTAAATGTTTATTTTGCACAGTTCTGGATCAGTGAAACTACTTTCTAGTGCTGTTGGTTGGATCTATGTCCTTGTTCTCTTTTATTAAGCACTAATGAATGAGGAGGACAATATTTGTACTGCACAAAGCTGATCACAAACCAAGTAGGAACATTGGGAAATCCTCAAAATGCTTGCCAAGACTTGGAACTACAAAGAATTTGCACAGAGTAAAATCTTTCACAGACTTGATATCATCCCAGCCACTGGCAAAGACTATCTCTTAGGATTACTCCCATAATAATACATCCTTTCTCTTCACCTGGCTATAAATTCCCTACCATCCCCTCAAGCTATTGTGTAAATGTTGCAAAGTTTACTAAAACTATTGCGGAGGTATGCAACTGGTAAATCTATCCTGAAGGATGAACTTTCTTGAAGAAAAAAAACAAACAAAACAAAATGCAGAAGGATCTGCTGATCGCACAGGCAGATGTTTCCGTTGGACGTAGTGCAGTGTTGATGAATATCAGTGTGCTGCATGTTCTTTTGAAAAAAATGATATACCTTGCACTTTATTCCCAACCAAGCTTTGAAAACAGCAACCAAAACAAAGAAAGTGTGACCCCAATAACAGCTGCGTGTTATGGTGGGCTGTGCTATCAGAGACTCGGAGGAAAGGTTACTATCAGCCAAGGTTACTTCTCTGGTCTCATTTCCTTTTTGTACTACACTACCAGTGTATATACTATAGTGTACATAAAAATATATGTATATAATGTAGATTTTCTTGGACTGTAACTAGCAGTAAGTATGGCTATCCCACATTTGTCACCGCTTTTGTCTTCCTATCAGCAAACATTTTGCAAAATTTTGTCATCCTATACTTATCTATTTCTGTACGCCATGGAATGGATTCCTTTAACAAGAGCTGCCATTCTTTTTGTGTACTTGGACCTGTCTGACAACTGTTCCCGAAGGATTTAAAAGGTAGCTTTAACTTCTGGCATATGGGATTTTGCCACTAGAAAGGACTGATCATCAAAAATAGTATATACATTTCAACAGAACAATTCCAAGCGAATTCAATAAAGACTGGAGATTCTGTTTTTGTTAAACTTTTGGCCATAATAAGTAATCTGGAAAAAAATGATAGCAAATTCTGGCAAAGACAATATTCTTGTAGTGGCCGCCATTGGACCTATGTGGAGCTGCTACCATGTAATAAGGACTGCTAAGATCCAGAAGTATTATGCCATAACTCCTGGTTTACAGGTCTTGTTTTAACAGTTGTTCTTGTTCAGGCAGTAGATTGCTTATCTTTTTCAGTTAAGGTTGTATCACCTTGTGTTGTCATACATCCTTTTTGGGTAGTAAACAATGGTAAGTTTTATAGTATTTTCACGGTGTTACCTCAGATGGAGGCCGTGGGGTCATCAGGAGGACCCAACACATGCGAGCGCCTGTTTGATGCAGTGTTGCAGCCATGCTCTGGACGCTGGCCACATCCTATGTGTCTTTCATAAGCAATGCGTCATTAAGCATTGTGTGCAATAACTTTGTTATGTATGGAATTCACAAATGATTGCAATGTGCAACAAGAAAATCAGTAGGTTGATGTTCATAATGCTGGAAAACTTTAGCTGCCTGAGCATACAGTTGTTGAAAAATTGTACTCAGTATAAGCAAAGGAAGCTGTGACCTTTTTGTCAACAAAATAGCAGTCTGATACGGCCAGCTTAAATGTTTATTTTCAACCACTTATATAGCATGATCATGCACCACTGCATTTAAAATTTTTGTCTCTCAATACTTGAAATTTTATTTAATGTTTGGTCAATAAGCATTAAAACCCTTTGACGCCGAAAGACTCCCTAAAGGGTCGGATTTCCAAGAGGAAAGCAGGTTTTCTCTGTACTATTACATGACTTCAGGCCACAAGGGTTATGTAGCGATATTTTTATTTGCCATTACCTGGATTGCATTTTTCTCAAGTTTTTATGTTGTCTGTTTCTTCATATTTGGTATTTATTGTGTGTTAGCCAAAAATGAAAAAAAAAAATCAAATGCCCAAAAAAGGTTAAAAAAAAAAAAAAGTGCCCTTTCAACTCTTTTGCTACGATAGTGGAACCAGAGTATTGTGTATTCAGGAAAGCGATATTCTGTAATAACCTCTCAATCTTGAGGTTCATAAAGGATAATCAAAGGCTAATTGGTCTGCTTCATCACGTGTGCCGATGTGTGAGTGAACTGCTTTATTTTTTAAGCCTTATCAATTCAGTGCAGGACATTGTAGTAGCCTTTGTGGCAATCAGCTACTGATTAGGTTGTAGAAGCCCATTCCCTTCTCTGTTCTACAGTCCAAAGCTGACCTACTTACAGGAACCCTTAGAAGGACTCTGCTGGATTGAGTCTTGGTTATCTTTGTTGCTGTTACTTTTGCAGGTTTCATCTAAAGGATTTTTCACTTTCAACAACAACAACAACAAAAAAATATATATATATTTTGACTGCACATAGCAGTTTTGGTCCATTGACATGAATGATGGGTTCTATAACATTTATGCCAAAGGCTGCCATTGTGGAATTACACTATGCTGCCCATTCACAAACCAGATAAACATTTTATAAATCAGGTGGTGCTGGGAAGCCTTGCCGCCTTCCACTGGCGTGTTATAGTGGCTGCAGGAGATATATATGACAGAAGCCTGGAAGCTGGCGTTCCTACCAAGAAACAGTAGGAATTTGAGTCCATGTGTATTTCCACAGTTACGCTGGATTTGCGCCTGTTGCACCTCAATGTGTTCCAGAGAACCGATCCTGAAAGGGATCAGTTCCCTGATTCAAGGAGTTTGCCTATTGATGCTGAAAGTAGAAAAAACCTTTTAATAACAGAGATCTGATAATAGCTGGTTCCACATACACGTAGGTAAAATGTAAAGTAATATCCCCAGCTAATTCTGTTCTCATAACAACCTTTTATGAATGAAAGGTGTTTGAAAATGTAAGTTGTAGTGAAGTTGCTTGGAATGAATCTGAAATGAGATGTCTGTTTTAGTAATAAAATGAATGCAGTGGATAGATTTTGAGGTAAAGGTGTGTTCATTTTTAATTTTCTTCCATTTTATTTTTGTGTGTTGCATTTTTTCATTTATTTGTATAACTTCAATAAGAAAATGTACATAAAAAAATTTTAAAAAATAAAATGTGATCAACCAAAGTATGCGTATTTCTTTTGTTTAACCCTACTAATGATATATAACTGTATATTATAGCATACAATAGATCATTTTAAAATGGGCAGTGAAGGTACATTTGTTGAATTGTTATTGTGGTTCTTATCTGAAAGATGCCTCTAGGAATGTGTAGTAATGAAAAAAATTGTAAAAAATAGGAATCAACAGATCTTCATTTTAACCATTGCTCTACACTGACATGCAATGTGCTTTGTGCTACCCTCCATTATTATAAAGTCTGCAGGTACCCACCAACAGCTGCCAAAGTCTGCAGGACAGCAGGCGTGCAGTTTACTTTTTTCTTGTGTTCTGTGGCATATATTTCAGATAGTATACACAGGTTTGCAACAGTTGAACACAGGATATGCTGCCTGAAAAGTGTTTTGCTATTTTTGTTACTCATGTAATTTTTTATTGAAAAAACATTCCAAGAAAGCACAAATAATTCTCTATTTCAGTCCACTTCCTAATTTACCACATAGCAATTGCACAGGGGAAGCAGATAGAGAAGTAACTAAAACAAGAAGAAGAAAAAAACAAAAAGTTGATCACCCTAAGCTCAGACATTGTTTATAAGATAAATATCTCCTGTACAGATATACAATTAAATTACTATACAGTAAGATTAGACATCTAAGCCATGAGTCATTGATTTGTCAGGTCTTTCATACATAGTATAGTTACATACATATATATATTTTTTTTAAATCAAAAATAAAGTTTCAGGTACAGCCAATAAACCAAAAAACCTTTACAAATAACAAGAATAATGATCCAAAGTGCAAATACAGCTCTATAGACACAGTATATTCAGAAGACCGTTCACGCTTTCAACAGTATAATCTGACAAAATTAGACGAAGCTAGAGACAAGTATCAAATACAGAGGGCAAGCATCATGAAACCAACCATATAATAACTTTTTAAAGCAGGGTCTGATCTGTTCTCATCCTTTCCACCATTAGGGGAGTATCAAGCTCAAATCAAAAGCCTGTCAAGTACTAAGGTGTCTCCCATGTGTGCTACCCATTCTTGGAGTTGGAGCCCTGTCCGATTTCCACTGCTGGAGAGTGAGACATTGGGTCTGAAACAATGCTCTAAGAATAGCCGCTTTCTGGAAATCTGTTAGCGGGAGGTCATCTAGTATTCCCAAAATGCACCGGTTGGGTTCAACAGGAACAGTAATTTGGAAGACCATGTTAATGGTT